AAACTGACCACACTTTTCACTCTGCTACTGTCTTTACTTACTCTGCTCAACCTGTTTTGTATTTGTAATTGTTTTTTCTATCCTTAACGTGTTTTTTTGTCGTTCAGGTACACCTGGACCTATACCTGGACCTGGACCTATACCTGGACCTGGACCTATACCTGGACCTACCATTCTATGTTCGTCTGTCTCTGCTCCCTGTCCTCTCAAACCATCTGGTCAAAGCAGATGGCCTCTTGTCCTGATCCTGGTTCTGCTGGAGGTTTCTTCCTTTAAAAGGGAGTTTTTTCTTTCCACTGTTGCCACTGTGCTTGCTCAGGATGGGAGACTGCAACGAAGCCAAGATTCATCTTGTCTGCTGGATTTTTTAGTTAGAGAACTTTACTAATTGGCTTTTATGTGAATGTTTCTGTAAAGAGTCCTGAGACAACTTTGTTGTGATTTGGCGCTATATAAATAAACTGAATTTAATTGAATTCAAACTACCTCAACTGACCTTTCGATGCGAAGGGGCAGCAGCTCTACTCTGAGCTCCTCCCAGCTGACGAAGCACCTCACCCTATCTGAGGCCGGCCACCCTACGAAGGAATCTCATGTCACCTCAATATACCCCTAGAGCTCTTGAGACAAGTTGAAGACATCTGTTACAAAACTGAGAAGGGTTTGATAGATCTGCAACCCGTGCTTAATTTGAGCCGGATCCTGCCGGAACAGGATCCAGGAACTCTCTTGTTTTGACAGAGTGCATTTCAGTAACTGTTTGCCTGGATCCGCTAACTGTCAGGCCTGCTAATAATAAAGTTATAAACAAATATGACTGCCTTTAAAGAATAAATCTTATATTGGATATGCAAACTGAAAATAATTACATAAACACTCATTTTAAACACAACAGCCACTTACAACTTCTTAAAATCACATATGAGCTGCCTCTTCAAGTAAGCATTTCCACCTGTACCCTTAAAAAAATCTACGCCCCTAAAAGTGTGGTTGGGGTGTGTGCATGGCAGTCGTACACGG